AACCAGCATTATTATTGGTATTAATGCTGGTTCCCAAATAAACGAAGTCGTCTACTTTTTCAAACTTGTAACTGTCAACAGTGACGTGGGTGCCAAGACGCGTATGCTCTGACTGTTTGTCTGATGGCAGGAGATACTTCGTTTTGTCCTCGTTCACCACCAGACCCATTCGCTTTGCTTCTCTGTCCAATCCCGAGAAGACAGAACAGTACAGTTGTTTTTACCGATAATATCGATGCCGGCGGCATACGCCAGCAATTGTACGCTCTTGTAAAGTATTGTGCCTGAGCGGTTCAGTTCTGCGGCTCTTATTATCTTCTCCAACATCAGATTAAAGAAATCACACGAAAGGGAGTCCCCCTGTCTGAAACCTCGTTTGGTATCAAACGGCTCGGGAAGGTCCTTCCCTATTCTGACGGAGCTGGTGGTATTGCTCAACGTAATTTTACACAGCCGTATTAGTTTCGCGGGGATACCAAATTCAGACATCGCGGCATAAAGGCAACTTCTCTTTGTGCTGTCGAAAGCGGCTTTGAAATCGATAAATAGATGGTGCGTGTCGAACCTATTCTCGCGGGTCTTTTCCAATATTTGGCGTATTGTGAATACCTGATCTATGGTGGATTTTCTAGGCCTAAGGCCACACTGATAAGGTCCAATCAGCTCGTTGACGGTGGGCTTCAGTCTTTCGCACAATACACTCGATAAGACCTTATAACCTATGCTTAGAAGGCTGATTCCGCGGTAGTTGGCGCGTATGGCGGGGTGGCCTTTCTTGTGGATTGGGCAGAGCACACTTAAATTCCAGTCGCCGGGCATGCGTTCATCAGACCATATTCTGAATACGAGCTGATGCATGCTCATCAGCTCCTCGCCGCCGTACTTGCGGGCGGCGGGCACGTATCTTGGCTACAACAAGATAGTGGTCCGAGTCGATGTTTGGCCCTCGGAGTGTACGTACGTCCAAAACGCTTGAAGCATGCCTTCCGTCTATCACAACATGATCGATTTGGTTTCTCGTTTTTCGATCTGGAGACAGCCATGTAGCTTGGTGGATGTTCTTATGCTGGAACCTAGTACTACATATTACCATGCTTCGGGCCCCGGCGAAGTCGATCAGCCTCAGTCCGTTATCGGACGTTTCGTCGTGGAGGCTGAATTTTCCGACAGTGGCGCCAAAGATCCCTTCCTTGCCCACCTTGGCATTAAAATCGCCAAGCACGATTTTGACATCGTGTCGGGGGCAGCGCTCATATGTACGTTCCAAGCGCTCATAGAAGAGATCCTTGGACGCCTCATCCTTCTCTTCCGTCGGGGCATGGGCGCAGATGAGCGAGATGTTGAAGAATCTAGCTTTGATGCAGATTGTTGCTAGACGTTCGTCCACCGGGGTGAACGCCAGTACTCGGCGACGGAGTCTCTCTCCTACCACGAATCCAACACCGAATTTGGGCTCCTTTACGTGGAAACTGTAGTAGACGTCGCAAGGCTTTACGCTTACTTTTCCTTGCCCCGTCCATCGCATTTCATGGACGGCGGTTATGTCAGCCTTTGTCTTCCCGAGGACATCAACCAGCCGAGCAGAGGCAACTTCCCCATTAAGGGTCCGGATATTCCAGGTGAATACCCTTAAATCATAGTCCTTTATACGTTTGCCGTGGTCGTCATCAGAAAATGGGGGTCTCATCCGAGGCTGTTTTTTATTTTTCATTGGGCGGGGTTTTAACGTGGCGGGACCCAAACCCAGCGAACGCGAAGTTTTACGCCTTCTCACTTCAGCTCGCTCCCAAGCGGGTGTTTGGTTGCTACCCAGAGGATACTCGATGCGGGTACTTAAGCGAACATAATTTGTGATGTAGTTACATCTTCTTGTTAACTTACATAAATAAGTCCTTGAATAAAACATGAACATTTAATGAAGTATACGTAATTTAAAACCAAGATCGTAGCATTATTTAAACAAGTAAACATATAAAGGAAAACTTAAAAAAAAAACAACAGATAAAGGAATGTTATGTCATTTTTCCAAGAATTAAATTAAAAAGTCATTGATTATACATATTATACATACATACAAACAGGGCATATCATTTTAGAACAAATTCAAACAGATATTGTTTGCCACTTATGTCTATTTTTTAATATTTAAAAGTTTTCAATAAAAAAAATTCATTCATTCAATTCATAGAAACTTAAAATATAAGCTTAAATATTTGCAGAACACTGAAAAAAATCATCAAAATTTAAAACTGGTTTTTCAGAAGTGTTACCATTTTTTATGAGTATACAGTTTTATAGCCCATTAAATATTAGTGTAATAATGCGCAAGTTTCAAGTGACTAAAAATTACCGTTGATTTTTTATAATTTTTTTGCCGAAGGTGTGTAGCGCTGCCATATTGATATGAAATATTAATTTATCTGTCGTTAGTATGTTAATCTAGTGGCCCAAGCATTCGCTGCCAAGCGTTCATTGTGGCAAGCATACTTTATACGTGCGTTCTGTCAAACCAACGCCAACGCCAAAGCCAACGCGAAAGTTCTATGTGGACCGGCCTTAAGATATAAATATTTACATCTAATTAAGTTTGTGCTTTTTTTTGCTTAAACCTATTGTGACTAAGTGCTACATAACGCCTAATTTCATTAACGGTCTGCTCCTTCGTGTTCTCCCCAAAGACATCTAGAAAAATTTATATAAATGTATTAATTTTTAGAAAACTGAATTTTAATAAAAATTTTTAGAGAAATTAAATAATACTGACCGAAAACCAAGTCCAGAGCCTTAAGCTTTAGAAGCGATTTTTTTTCTTTACGTCCCTCCAAATTGTAGCCGGCCACCAAGTTATCGTGCAGCAGCGAACGCAGAACTCCGTCTACACTGCCTTTTACACCTTTTGACTTAACTAACAGCCGCATCTGAAAGATAAACGTGAATGTTAAATGTTTAGATAAATAATTAAAGTAATCGAAATCAATGCGCATATATTAAAAAACAACAAAATTATTACCAATGCATCACTACTGGCCTTTGTACAGAGTTTCGTCTTTACGGCTAGCAATGTCTCCTCTGATGACATGGGAAGCATGGAGGCAAGCTCTAGGTATTCCTCGTCCTCTATGTCACCTGTGATGCGGCTAACCGATAGCTGAGTTCGCGCCGCGATGACTTTGTATTCACGTAATATTTTGCTTTGCGCTTGAACCTCAGCTTTCTCAGGCATCTGGAAAACAAACAAAAAATATCGTGAAATATTAATGTTGAAAATAGAAACATTTACATTTTCTTTAAGCGCCTTTTCAATGGCAGTTAGACGGTTGTCCACACCACCCAAAAGTGAAAACATGCCCTTTTGGGCCTCTTGAATTCCGTCCAGACGTTTGATAAGCTCTGCGTGGCTGCTCGATAGGACCTCAGCTGTTGGGGCCACTTCGGGAGTCGTGTTGGTAGCAGTTCTACGGACTTGAGAGGCGCGAATAAAACTGAAGCGGCGCTTCTGAATTCGTTGTTCTGTAACTAATTATATAGTAGCAGAAACAGTAATAAACTTTATAAATTGTATCACCTTTGCAGACGGAGGACCCTTGGGAGCATTCCGACCAGTGTACGAAAATAAACTATATTGTACGTTACTATTTCGTTTCGTTTATTACTTCAACAGTTCGGTACAATACGAAACAAAACGGCTGCGTTCACTTTGGTGATAGTACACTACAGTAGTTTAGTAGTTACAGACGAAACAACAAACGAAATGAATCGTGCGGGGAAAATATATTTATGTATGTACATATATGCAATAACCAATGTTTTTTAATTGAATTGGATATGAAAATTTACAGAAAAAATTATTTTTCACGTAATTGAAATGTTTGCATACATATAAAACGTATCCTATGGTACAATTGTCACAAACGAAAAGCAAACGTTTCTCGTTGGGGAAAGTGACAGTGAATCTTACAATTTGTTTCTGACTATTTACAAAACTGTACAAAACCACAAATGATATGATGATCGATGAGCAAATGGGAATTGTTTTGTACAGTTTATTTTCGTACCCTGATTCCGACTCAATGACCTCTTCGAAAAGATCCTCGAAATTCATTCTAATAAAAATCTTTATACAAAACTTATTTCTTAATGGCATGCAAAAATATGTATACTTAGCATCTTATTATTTACAATACGATTTAAAGCGATTAATCGAATTTTAATAAAAATCATTAAAAAAGTGATGTAATAAGGGGACTAATAATAATTTATTATTTAATGGCATGCAAAAATACTTATACCTAATGTCCCGTTTACTTAATGCTTATTAAGAGAAAGGTAATTTAATTGCCTTCCTGTTCGTTATAATTTCTTTTAAATAAATTAGCCTCTTTTCAAAAAATGTTACACTTTTGTGCGATGCCTTATGTACGTTTAACATACATGTACATAATTTTACGAAGGTGTTAGCCAAGGCTTTATTTTGAGAAATTATTTAAAAATTATTGATGTTAATGCGTATTAAGAGAAAGGTAATTTAAATGCCTTTCTTATTGAATTATTGATGTTAATGCTTATTAAGAGAAAGGTAATTTAATTGCCTTTCTGTTCGTTATAATTTCTTTTAAATAATTAGCCTTCCAAAAATTTTACACTTTTGTGCGATGCCTTATGTACGTCCAACATACATGTACATATGTATTAAAATTGTGGAACTATGGCCAGATCGATTAATCGAAATAAGAGAATCCTTGGCCATAGTTAAATGTGTACATGCATTGTACACTTCTAATTTCACTTCACTTAAATAACCTGTTCCAGTATTCCAGGATTTAGTCATTTAGTCCGGAAGATAGTACTGAAGTTGCCTTACATAAATGTGTGTATGTACTGGGCCCACTTCCTATTTCTGACTAATCCTGGAGTAAGGGAACAGGCTATAAATTCTTCTAAAATTCACTGCTTTAAATTTCTATCATAAACTCACTTTAAATTGCTGTCCAAATTGTTTTCCGCCACAGATCTCTTGAAGAGATTTCCAGCGGATTTCTGCAAATTGAAATAAAATCTTAACATATGGATTTTGCGAAAAAATTCTATACATACCTATTTAAAATTGCTAGCGTATTCCTTTTGCTGCGATCCAAAATGAAAATATCAACATTTTAACAAATTAAATTGAAACTCAAACCAACTTACCGCCAATGTTCGCAAACGTTCAAAAGAAATTATAATAGTGACGTATAATTTTCATGCTGCTATGATCAAAATGTCAAGTTTAGCTTTGCTTGCAGTGCCTATCGCTTGTTCGCTCTAGCACATGCGTTTCGTATCCTCATAAAACATACTGTTCTAACTTTAGGAAATTCCTTTAAAACCAAATGTGACTGTGTAGGTAGGCATCTGAAAAGTTGTAAATGTAGTGGTGAATTGGTTATCGCCGTCTTGTAGGGTATGTTATCTTAAAAGAGATGTTTTATGTATTATATGGCGACTCTGCAGGGTTAAGTTTCATAAGATGTATTTACTATTATAATTGAACTACCAATAAAGCAGTCTGCTATGGTATAGCAAACAAGTAACACAGATACCATATGGCATCATTTGTACTAACTGGCGTAAAAAATACGCAACGATTTTTTAATATGGTATTTTATTTTATTTAAATTAAATAACACTACAAAACTCAATAAAATAAGTTGGAACGTGCATAGATTTAATAATTCATTTAAAAAATTTACTAGTTGCAATTTACCAGTACAAATAAATCGTTATTTGCTGGTGCGGATTTCAGCTCCTTCAAATATTATTGATGCCATATCGTCGCCTGGGTAAAAGATTGTCGTATGTTAATTTCGGCAGGTTGTGTGGGAATCAATTGAAGTTTGGAATGCAATTTCTCAAAAACGCGAAGATAGATTTTCTCCAAAGTCTGAAAATGTTACTAGTTAACAAAATTCTTAAATTATTTAATTTTTAATATTTATTGTTAATTAGTTTTGAGTTTATGAAGGATTTTCTTTAGTAAAATTTTGTCGTAAGCGTCATTTGTCCACAATTTCGCAGCCACTTTGTATGAAATACGACAAAATGTGATCAAAATTTCTACTAAATTAACGACACTTATTACTCAATATCTCGGAAACTAAAGGAAATATCCCAAAGTCGAGAACGCCATTTTTAAGATATTGAATAGTTTAATATGACTGCATCACCAACTAATTTTTTACTAAATTATCGAAAAATTTGTAGCCAATATCTCGGAAACTAACGAAGATAACTAAAAGGTGATAACACCAATCGAAAGACCTTATTTCAAAATATATAACTGCATTTAGACTTAAAAATCGTCAAAATGGCGCTTACGACAATCTTTTACCCAGGCGACGATATGGCATCATACAAATTTAAAAATATACCACGCGTTTATTAGCACTTTTTTAATTAATTATTAATTATAGCATATTTATTTGTTTTTAATTTATTGGGTTATTTGGTAAAATATTGTATTTTAATGTAGACCTTTCTAAGCAGAAAAAAATCGATATTTTAGTAAAGTTTTAAAATAGAAATTTTTCATCTCATAAAAATAACAATACCGTATTAAAATATAGTTTATAAAACTTCCCATTACAGCGTTGCATATAAAAATATAATTTCAGATAAGCTCAGTTAAATCTGTGAGTATTCAAAAAAGCATGACGCCATATGGCATCAAAGTAGCGAAAGGGTTAGTTCAAAATATTTCCAATATTTTTGATTTTTTTTGTATACTTACTTGAATTTGCACAATAAGAAAATAAATTTTCACGAAACAATTGATGAAAATATCGGCAGTGTTGCCTGTTGAACTTTTTATACGAAGACAATATTTCTCCTTGTATTTTAGTAGTAGTTTCCATAAATCAAAAACGAAAGCAACAGGCTAAGGCAGAATGCGGGAGTGAGACAACTGCCAGGTTATTATCAATTTAATTTAATTGCCTTCCTGTTCGTTATAATTTCTTTTAAATAAATTAGCCTCTTTTCAAAAAATGTTACACTTTTGTGTGATGCCTTATGTACGTTTAACATACATGTACATAATTTTACGAAGGTGTTAGCCAAGGCTTTATTTTGAGAAATTATTTAAAAATTATTGATGTTAATGCGTATTAAGAGAAAGGTAATTTAAATGCCTTTCTTATTGAATTATTGATGTTAATGCTTATTAAGAGAAAGGTAATTTAATTGCCTTTCTGTTCGTTATAATTTCTTTTAAATAATTAGCCTTCCAAAAATTTTACACTTTTGTGCGATGCCTTATGTACGTCCAACATACATGTACATATGTATTAAAATTGTGGAACTATGGCCAGATCGATTAATCGAAATAAGAGAATCCTTGGCCATAGTTAAATGTGTACATGCATTGTACACTTCTAATTTCACTTCACTTAAATAACCTGTTCCAGTATTCCAGGATTTAGTCATTTAGTCCGGAAGATAGTACTGAAGTTGCCTTGTGTGTATGTACTGGGCCCACTTCCTATTTCTGACTAATCCTGGAGTAAGGGAACAGGCTATAAATTCTTCTAAAATTCACTGCTTTAAATTTCTATTATAAACTCACTTTAAATTGCTGTCCAAATTGTTTTCCGCCACAGATCTCTTGAAGAGATTTCCAGCGGAGTTTCTGCAAATTGAAATAAAATCTTAACATATGGATTTTGCGAAAAAATTCTATACATACCTATTTAAAATTGCTAGCGTATTCCTTTTGCTGCAATCCAAAATGAAAATATCAACATTTTAACAAATTAAATTGAAATGAAAGAAATTATAATAGTGACGTATAATTTTCATGCTGCTGTGATCAAAATGTCAAGTTTAGCTTTGCTTGTAGTGCCTACCGCTTGTTCGCTCTAGCACATGCGTTTCGTATCCTCATAAAACATACTGTTCTAACTTTAGGAAATTCCTTTAAAACCAAATGTGACTGTGTAGGTAGGCATCTGAAAAGTTGTAAATGTAGTGGTGAATTGGCTATCGCCGTCTTGTAGGGTATGTTATCTTAAAAGAGATGTTTTATGTATTATATGGCGACTCTGCAGGTTTAAGTTTCATAAGATGTATTTACTATTATAATTGAACTACCAATAAAGCAGTCTGCTATGGTATAGCAAACAAGTAACACAGATACCATATGGCATCATTTGTACTAACTGGCGTAAAAAATACGCAACGATTTTTTAATATGGTATTTTATTTTATTTAAATTAAATAACACTACAAAAACTCAATAAAATAAGTTGGAACATGCATAGATTTAATAATTCATTTAAAAAATTTACTAGTTGCAATTTACCAGTACAAATAAATCGTTATTTGCTGGTGCGGATTTCAGCTCCTTCAAATATTATTGATGCCATATCGTCGCCTGGGTAAAAGATTGTCGTATGTTAATTTCGGCAGGTTGTGTGGGAATCAATTGAAGTTTGAAATGCAATTTCTCAAAAACGCGAAGATAGATTTTCTCCAAAGTCTGAAAATGTTACTAGTTAACAAAATTCTTAAATTATTTAATTTTTAATATTTATTGTTAATTAGTTTTGAGTTTATGAAGGATTTTCTTTAGTAAAATTTTGTCGTAAGCGTCATTTGTCCACAATTTGGCAGCCACTTTGTATGAAATACGACAAAATGTGATCAAAATTTCTACTAAATTAACGACACTTATTACTCAATATCTTGGAAACTAAAGGAGATATCCCAAAGTCGAGAACGCCATTTTTAAGATATTGAATAGTTTAATATGACTGCATCACCAACTAATTTTTTACTAAATTATCGAAAAATTTGTAGCCAATATCTCGGAAACTAACGAAGATAACTAAAAGGTGATAACACCAATCGAAAGACCTTATTTCAAAATATATAACTGCATTTAGACTTAAAAATCGTCAAAATGGCGCTTACGACAATCTTTTACCCAGGCGACGATATGGCATCATACAAATTTAAAAATATACCACGCGTTTATTAGCACTTTTTAAATAAATTGCAAGTTCTAGCAATATTTGACACTATTTTGGAGACTATAGTATATTTATTTGTTTTTAATTTATTGGGTTATTTGGTAAAATATTGTATTTTAATGTAGACCTTTCTAAGCAGAAAAAATCGATATTTTAGTAAAGTTTTAAAATAGAAATTTTTCATCTCATAAAAATAACAATACCGTATTAAAATATAGTTTATAAAACTTTCCATTACAGCGTTGCATATAAAAATATAATTTCAGATAAGCTCAGTTAAATCTGTGAGTATTCAAAAAAGCATGACGCCATATGGCATCAAAGTAGCGAAAGGGTTAGTTCAAAATATTACCAATATTTTTCATTTTTTTTGTATACTTACTTGAATTTGCGCAATAAGAAAATAAATTTTCACGAAACAATTGATGAAAATATCGGCAGTGTTGCCTGTTGAACTTTTTATACGAAGACAATATTTCTCCTTGTATTTTAGTAGTAGTTTCCATAAATCAAAAACGAAAGCAACAGGCTAAGGCAGAATGCGGGAGTGAGACAACTGCGAGGTTATCCAACCTTGTATTATTGAATCATGGTCCCCGCATGGTTGCGCAATAAGAAAATAAATTTTCACGAAACAATTGATGAAAATATCGGCAGTGTTGCCTGTTGAACTTTTTATACGAAGACAATATTTCTCCTGGTATTTTAGTAGTAGTTTCCATAAATCAAAAACGAAAGCAACAGGCTAAGGCAGAATGCGGGAGTGAGACAACTGCGAGGTTATCCAACCTTGTATTATTGAATCATGGTCCCCACCGAAAATTTATGCAAAATAATCGAAAGGAGTAACAAACGACGCGCACTAAGTATTAAAACCGAAGCCAGCTAAAACTTTGTAGCTTTGCGTGACATTTATAACTTTGCAAGCAAAGCGCCAGACGCAAAAGGTATGCCACAATGAACGTCAAGAAAACAATTTTGTACTGCTTTTTTACTCGTCAAAATTGCTTTGGATTTTATATATTTTGCTTAAATTATGAATCATTTTTAACAAGCTCGAGCAGCAATTAAATAAAACGCAAATTGATATTTTAATTGTTGATATTTCGGCCTCAATCTGAGGTCATCTTCAGAACTGACAGCCTTGTCAGCACACTGTAGGGATACGGGACACTATTCCGATTTCGATAATGTTGCCATTCTGCAAGAAGAAAAGAACTATAATAAACGCTATATTTTGGAAATGTTACCTATGACGAACACCCCTAATGAGAGAAGGATCAACTTTAAAACGGACACAGAAAAATTGTGCACATGTGTATCGCAATTTGGGGTTAAATCGGCAACAACAATCCTCAACGAAGGTGTTCCGTTCCGCCTTCCATAATCAACATTCGTTCCGTGTCCCCAACATACCTTCATAGAATAACAATAAAATATATGTATATATGTTTGTACATATATATATATATATATATATATATTTGCCTAAAATTTCACTTGTTTAACTTTTATTTTCGTATGCCTAATCAGTCCACCAGGCACATTTTCATACAATTCATGTTATCTGCCAAAGCGAATCTGTCACGCAAAGCTAAGCAAAAGTTTTATGTGGCATCAGCTTAAGAATCCGAAAGCGGAAACTGATTTTTTTAAACCGTACAAAAGTAATTTGCAAAAAACCGTTTCATTCAGCTCAACTTTGTCAGTACTAAGTTCACGTTAATAAATGCATTAAATGAACATGAACCAATTAGAAGAGATCTGACCCAGAAACGAGAATTCTGCGTAGTAAAGATTATGCCGAAGGCCACTTACGCAGAAAGAAGTGCTGCCACTCTTCTCCGGCAACACAGAAAGGAGAATTCTGCTTAGAAAGGGTTATAATCCCTAAGCGCAGCCAAAGGCTCATTTTTATAAACTGGAAATATAAACGCTATTTAAATTAAGTTTAATTTCTTTAATTGTAAAAAACTTAAAATTTTTCACGTTTATTGTTATTGGTATCACTGCGCTGATGTGGCACCGACATTGGTCAACTCGTGTGCATCCGCACTTGCATACATGAGTTTTTAGCGATTTCGTCAGCAATTCGTCTCCAGACTGAATTTTTAAATTTGATTTTCATGTAATCTGGATATTTAATGACGTATGGATATTTTTCGCTTCGCACGCCTTCAACTAGCTCCTCCTCCATGATTATTAAAGACATTGGCCACACTGCCACTCGAAAAAGGTGTATCTGATACCTAGTTACACTCCCACGACACTCGCAAACACGCTCATGTAAGTGCGTACGAAGCCACGGTGTTCGGTATAACGTCAATGGTTTCAAAGTCTGCCAGTCGCTCGGCTCGTGACAACCAGTACGAGCGTGAGCATGTGCGGCGGGCGTAATCTATCTATACTATATCTATACTATATATAAAATTAAAGCCCAAAAAAACGTGAGAGCAAAACAGCCGATGTACTGGGTCGATTTCTATGATTCAAGTTTTAAAATTACCTATTTCTACCACAATAGGACACAGCGGTATTTTTAAAATAAAATTTTAATAATAAGTATGTTTAATTAAAGTATTAAGTTGATCAACAATACCACGCATTGCTAGACCGCTTGCCCTTCACGCGATTGTGTTTAGAGAGCATCAACAAACCACATACATATTTCTCTCAATTCTCTTACCTTCTTATACTCAGCTAGCTGTCTTTCTTACTTCAAAATGCTGCTTGCCGCGATATCGGCACATGCTCACTGTAAGCTTCTTGGTGTGGTATATGTATACACATTGATCTTCAGCTTTTGCTTTTTTTTCATAAAGATGAAGTTCGTGAAAAAAAGTTGCCGCTGCGTATCAGAAACCTAATTTTACATCGCTGTAGTAGCATTAAGAATAAATAACACAAAGAAATGCCTGTTTCGTTTCATGCAAATTCTGCACAAAACAAAACTCAACAATGTTAGTTCAACAGATCAACATTCAATCAATCCCATTAGATTTTAATACATGCATACATATGTACATAAGTATGTTCAAATTAGAATTGATATGGTAAAGTATTTTAGCCCTGTTTTTTATGGGAATCCTGCCTCTGTGTACCCGAATTCCAATTTTTCAACGCTGTAGTGGATTGCACAAACAACAGCAAATCAATGATGTACATATGTATGTACGTATATCTATTTGTTGGGCTTCATAGGAATTTGGCGCATTGTTTTCGCGAACTTGATGTGGCATACATACATTCATCTTCAGCTTTTCCTTTATTTCATAAAGATGAAGTTCTTTAAAAAATCAGTTGTCGCTGCGCAGCAGAAACGTTATTTTACGTCGCTGTAGTAGCATACAGAATATATATAACAGCATGGAAAATTCTGTTTCGCTTCATGCAAATTCTGCACAAAACAAAACTCAACAATGTTAGTTCAACAGATCAACATTCAATCAATCCAATTATATTTTAATACATGCATACATATGTCCATAAGTATGTTCAAATTAGAATTGATATGGTAAAGTAATTTAGCCCTGTTTTTTATGGGAATCCTGCCTTTGTCTAGCCGAATTCCATTTTCCAACGCTGTAGTGGCATGCACAAACAACAGCAAATCAATGATGTACATATGTGTGTCTATTTGTTGCGCTTCATGGGAATTCGGCACATTGTTTTCGCGAAGTTAATAAATTAGCAAGTGCGTTAAAGGCTGAGTTTTTTGGCTTATACAAAGTGGAATTTCGTTACTAAATACAAAAAAATCTTTAAAAGAACAGAACAGTGCGAAGTGTTTAAAAATGTCTAAAGCTAAAATAAATTTGTCAAGACAAACGAGAGCCACAAGGGCAATGGCCGGTAATCGGAGAATAGTAGCGGCGGCGCGAATAGAAACGATGCCTGCAATCGGAATTAGATCTGCGTTTATTTGTCGACTTCAAATCAATTTAAAAGTGGATTTTTACAATAAAAGTATATCTACACATATCAGTGCCGTACCTATCAGTGCCAGTGAAAAATATAATATCGTTGCCCCAGTCTAGAGATGGGCACGGACCTAAATTTTCAGGCCCGGCCCGGCACGAGTGCAAAATCAACTTTCAAAAACACGCACGAGCCCGCACGTTAAGAATTTTAGTGGGGCCCGGCCCGGCCCGGCACGACGGGACACGTCCCAGCCCGGAAATAAAGAGCCAGTTTTTATGGTATGTACATATTTTTAGTTTTGTGTTTATGTATGTTTAAGCGAATCAGTTTTTTACATCAAAGATTTTTATAATATATTTTTTGTGAAGTAAAAAAAGTGGAAGGTATTTTATGTACAGATATGTAAACAAAACTACTAAGTATCTTATTTTTTCTATCGGTTTCCAAATATTTCCTTTTTTGCTTTTCTCTTATTAAAAGAGGTTTAAATATGTACTATTTTTTTATAAAAACAAAAGCTTATCTAAATTTGTAGTATTAGCAACGGGCTTTTTCGTGCTTATTCGTGCTTTTATGAAATTTTACTGAACGCCCATGCACGCACGAGTTCGTGCTGACAGCAAATATTCCGGCCCGTACCCGCGGGCTTACGCAGGCCCGGCCCGTGCCCATCTCTACCCCAGTCCCAAATAGAGTTTTTCAGACCGTCCGGCACATTGAACTTTTTTACCGTCAGTGCTGCTTCAGTATTCGTTCCGCAATTTTTTTACACTCTAAAAACTACATGTAAAACTGCTTCTGAAAAGTGTTTATTTTCAAATAAAATCTGTGTAAGTATACGCATAAGATATTCAAGACTGGATTTTTCAACATGAGATTTTTTAAAATATACACATGAAGTATTTAAAATTGCCAACGTTTTTAACGCAAAAATACATTTCCTACTAAAAATAAAAATTAAGTACATTTTATTTGTCATTTTGCTCTACGCGACAAATTTGGTATGTAAAAGTAAACAGGCAGTGTTTAATTTTATTAACACGGTGTCTAAATTTGCACGCATTAGGAGAGGAAACTGGTAACCTCTCCTAATATGCGTTAATTTAAACAAAAAACTTTTAGAGCAAATTTTAAACACTTTATGTGTAAACTGTGTAATGGTGAACACTAAGAAAATTTTATAGACATTTTTTTTAATAAAGTTTAAGAAATGATTTAACTATACTTTAAAATAGTTAAATTAACGGCCCTAAGGGCCAAATTCACAGTGCTGTACTGAAAACCTGTAGTTAACTGAAGATTCTGAGTTAACTACGCACTGTGAATTTGGCCTTGAGTGTTTAGAATTGAACAAACAAGTTTCAAATTTATTCTACGCCACACATATGGTCAGTAAAAGTAAAAAAAGCAGTATTTAAATTGATTAACACGGTGTGCAAATTTGCATACATTAAGAGAGGAAACTGGTTACCTTTTTTAATATGCTTAAATTTAAACA